CCATGGATCACACTACGATCGCCGCCGCCGCCATAACAAGCGCCGCCGCAAAGAAAACAAAGGGGCGGCAGAAACTGGAGATGAAGAAGATCGAGAAGAAGCCCAATCTCCAGGTCACCTTCAGCAAGCGCCGCAAGGGCCTCTTCCGCAAAGCCGGCGAACTCAGCGTCCTCTCCGGCTCCGAGATCGCGATCCTCGTGCAGTCGCCGGCCGGAAAGATCTTCGCCTTCGGGACACCCACAGTCGACGCCGTCTTGGGCCGTCTTCAGGGAGTCGACTGCCAGTACCAGCCTGTGTTCGAGCGGGCGGAGGCCATGAGGCTGAAGTACGAGGAGGCCGTCAGGAAGCTGGAGGCGGAGAAGAGTGCCAAGGCGGAGGACGACGGCGGGTCGTGGTGGGAGAGGAATTTTGAGGGCATGGATGTGGCGGAGCTCGAAGAGTACGCGGCGGCTTTGGAGAGTTTGAGGAACGGAGTTTTGAAAACGGTGGAGGATCTCGGCTGTGTTGCTGCCCAGGATTTTGGGGGTTTAGGATTTTTGGAGTATAATTTTAGTGAAGATTCATAATTGTTCTTTTTTTTTTTTATTTTATTGAAATATTTTTTACTGAGTACAGTTATTCATTTTATTTTATATTTTCTAGTACAGATTTCGTTAAATGTAAATTTATCTTGTTTTCCTGTTTTTCAGATTTTGTTTTATAAAATTGCTTGTTATTAGGGAGTTTATACATTTTGTTTTATAAAATTGCTTGTTATTAGGGAATTTATACGGTCTCGTTACGGAATCATTTTGTCGGAGTTTGTTACCGTTAGATCCACACGACGGTTACATAATAATCTAATGGTTACAAATCTCGATGGAAAGATTCCGTAACAGAACTTGTAAAATTTCCCTATTTCATAAAGAGTTAGGACAAGACAAATAGTATTTGAGCATCAATTAAAGAATGTCCACAGATAATTTTTTGATTGTTTAATTATAACTTCATTAATTATTACAAAGATACTTAAAATTGGAAAGAAAATAACAACCATAATATTATCGAGGAAACTAAACAAAATCTTCCAATTAAAATCGCACAGAATCTTAAGACAGATACGCGCCCAAGAAAGCAAAATTTCAATCAGTTTCATCTAATATAGTAAAGATTTTGCTAGTTGTGCTTTTTCTTTTTCTTTTTCAGATTTTGTTATTATAAAAGTGGGGAATGCTAAGATCCCTCCAAAATTATTCCGTCAAAATTTATAATTGTTAAATCATTATATAACCATTAGAGATAGTTAATCTAATGGTTATAAATTCCGATGAAATAATTCCGTAACAAGGCCAAATTAACCCATAAGAATGATTCCGTAACAAGACCGTAACATCTTCCTATAAAAGTTAACCCATGAAGAAAAGGAGAAAAGTTTCTTTTTTTTTCAAAAAAAAAAAAAGTATTTCATGGATTTCAGAAGTTATGAAGCACCATATGCCCTGGGATACATCTAAATTTACACTCGGAAACTACTGAATATTTAAAAGACCTTAATGCCACTAAAAGCGCCTCACCGGGCCAAATGAGCCCAACAAAAACGCGAACAAACGATAATTTTAACCCTTTCGAAGGGCCCGGGGGGCCATTTCAGTGGTGGGCCTTTCGCCCCTCTTTTCACTTTCCACCAAGGGAAGGAAACTGCCCGACATCTTCAATAGCTGGGGCCCGCAAGTCATGAATGGTTGGGCCTCCGTACCCACCACGGCCACGTCCCCTCCCACGCCCGCCTCCTCTGTAGTAGTTTTCCCCATTCGCAGGCTTCAGAAACTCGTTTATGCTTACAGACTTTTATCACAAAACAAAATGAGTTCAGATTTCAAAACTATTAAAATAAACAAAGAGATGGACAAAGGCATTTTAAACACGCGGAAAGTTCAGTGTCTATATTGACTTTTTTTAACAAAGAATGACAGTTAAGTTAGTTTGTCTAAGGTACATAGTAAAGCTTCGAGCACCCAGGAGAAAAATGTATAACAAGGCCAATAGCCCCTGATGGACAAAAACTCAAAACATTAGTACTAAAACTACTGATTCATCAATTGACATAAAAATTTTGTAAGATTGCTCATATTTTTACTATACTCTGCAGATCTGCTCGAGTAGAAAGCCAATTTGTCCGATAGAACCAGGCTATCGTGTATATGCAGCAGCATTTTATCAAAAGAAAATGAGCATTCAAATTCAATCACAAATCATTTAGTATAAAAAAAAAAATCTCGAAATTCTTCTATGCTGTCTGTCTTATCAAAAGCATGACACATGCCCACCAGGACAGACGCAAACAAGGCCCAATTGGTCATGAATAAATGAAACTTTCACATCCTCAAAAATTTAAAATTACTGAATACTTATTCAAGTTTTTTCAAGTGTCCTCAAGGTTAGTTTCAGTTATTGTTATGAAAAATAAAAATACATAATGCTATTTTGCTGCAGAAACTATACGACGAAAATGTACCTTTTTTGCCTTCTCAGCAGCCTCTTTGCGTTTGTCCTTATCAGACCCCTGCTCAGTTATTAACAATTTCAGCACAATCGACACATTAACAGCTGCGTATCAATAACAAACGATTGGCATTGAGCAATTGACAAGGATTGCACTAACCAGTTTAACGAACACTTCATCATCATTCTTCTTGTTAGACAGAAGTTGCATAGATTCAAGTTCTTTGTCCAAGTTGACCTTTCTTTCCTCAGTTTTCAGCGCAAGTAATGACTTTCTTTTCTCTTCGAGTACCTTCTCATACTCCTCCAATGTCATCTCCTGCAATGATACATAAACCACCAAAGCTTAATCTTCTTAAATACTCTAATGGAACATTTAGAAACCATACGAAATGTTTCAAAAACAAACCAATGTGGTTATGTCAAATTTGATCATACCTTCTCCTGTGGCTCAACTTCTTCCTGTTCATTAGGAGAAGAATCCTTGTTTGCATCACCAGCAACATCTTGCCCTGATTCTTTTTCAGACTCGACATTCTTTACTTCATTTGTGGGATCCTCAGTTTCACTAAATTCCCAAACACAGTGAACACAAACAATACACAAACAATGTGACATGCAACATATACACAAAAAATATTCAGTGCTTACGTCACAATCTCATCAGTGGGAGTCCCCCAATTTCGACGCCCAGCACCCTCACGTTTGAACTCATTCCTGCAGACATACATACACATAAATATCTGTGTATATTTATTATTTACAACCAAAAAAGGGGAAACCCAATTGAAAAAATAAAATAAAATAGACGAAGAAGAAAAATACGAGAACAAATGTCCATTGATCGCCTTACCCTCGCCCGGTCCCACTGCGACGCTCGTAAAACCTTCGTCCATCGTTAAATTCCCCGTTGTTGAAACCACCACGGCGGCTACCACGGGATGCCCCACTGCCGCCACGGGGCCCACCATACAGACGCCGTTCAGCAGAATCTTTCCGGCCATCACCATCTTCAGAAGGCTTGCTGAGGCCACCAGAAAAACCATTGTTGTTATCGAATACATTATCACTGTCAAATGTCTCTCTGTTGTATCCACGGCCACCACGGCCACCTTGGGCCCCACCACGGCCTCCACGCTGGCCTTCATTCCTCGACTCCCTCACTGAAAATAATATTAAATAAATCGTGGGTACGGAGCAAGAAACAAAACCTTCTTAAATTTGGTAATGCAAGAAAATAAAACATAAATGAAGGACTCGGGCAGGTCAATGTGATAGGAAAGACAGACTTGGACATCACATATAGGTGCAAGGAATCGGTAAAACCGTAAATGTAAGCAAAATCCACGCGCAAGTAAAATATATAAACACACTGGAAATTAACATTGCTGAGCCAATTGGCAACTCAGTATAAAATGATAAATGATATCAAAATCAAATGTAACCATAACATGATCCCATACAGCAAACAATGACAGAAATGAGAATCATGCAGATTTAAAAATTTTAGTAATCGGACCTGGACTCATCACCCAATCCAAGTTCAACAATTATAAGGCTAGCAGTATGCTGTAACAATGAAGAAAACAAAAAATCTACAATAACCCCGAAAGAAGCAAAACTGGGCGAATCAATGGTAGTTGAGAGTTAATATTTCTACTTAAATAAAACCAACATTTCATAACAAATTGCATCAATTGTTTAGTTCGCCATTACAATAAACACCACACATTTCAACATAAACAGAATGCTTTCCGATTACTCACCAGCCTGTGCTGGAGGAGCTGGCTTGGTCGGCAACTTAGCCTCCGGTTGAGCCTTCGCCGGACCTTTCTTCAGTTGAGCAGGAGCCCTAGCTGGAGCTGGCGCCGCAGCTTTCTTCTGGGCAGCAAGAAGCTGCGACGGGTCCTCGGCGTCATCATCACCCAGAAGCCCAAAAGGGTTTAAAGTGGCCATTTTCTCAAATTGCTTCAGGCTATAAAGTAAAAGCTCTAGCTGCAAGAATCCATGGAAAAAGGGACGAAAAAGATAGAAATGATTTTAGGAGCTAATCGAAACCAAGAATATGAATGCGGCCGAGGGAGATGTGAAGGCGATAACCTAATCTTGATAAACCCTAGAGCGAATGTGGACTGTGTGAGGTAGGGTTCACTGTATATTACCATGGACTTGCAGTAAAAACTTGTACTGTACTTTGTCACCGTGGGCCCGGTTGATCCCATTGTGAAAATGCAGCAGAGTTAACTGCTACAAGAACGAGCCCACAATAATCCATTTCAGCCCAGCCTAATAAGCCCGTCATTCTCAACTGTTAGCCCTTTCTTCGTATGCGGCCCAGCCCAATTTTAGGAGCTCTTTGTTCTGTTACTGAGCAATTGAACCCCTTATCACTAATCCAGTCACAGGGCTCACAGCTCATGTCTATCTTTAATTGAAGACTTAGGCTATGTTTGGTTGCTGGGCCAAATAAGCGAGCTTTTATTTGACTAATTTATAAGTTTACTGTATACAAATAAGTCTCGTTTAATAAGACAAAAATTCAAATTTATCTCATAAACTTCTTTATGTAGCTAGCTTTCAAATAAACTAGTTAAAATTTTTATTTCAGCTAATTTATCAGTCAATTTTACTAAACATTTTCCTCATATAAGCTAGTTTGTTAACTATAATACATAAATTATAAAATATAGACTAAAAAATTATATATAATATGTAAGTTGGCTTATCAACTATCAGCTAGTTTTACGAATCATGACTTTATAATTCACTAATTAAAAGGACCCTTTCCTTCGTGAATACAACACATTAGTGAGTTATGATAAGATTAAGATAGTCTTGATTGGCCAACTTTTTTAATCAAAATAATTGAATACACATTAGTGAGTTATAAAACATACTCTAATATATTTATTGAGGCTACATATTTTATAAATAAATGTAAATCTCTTTTTTTTTTTTTTTTT